ATCATGCCAGTCCAACCCGAACAAGGGGCCCTTGTGGGTCTCTGTGGGCTGCCAGAGGGATCCGAAGCCATCCCAGAGACTCTGAGGGTGGGGAGGGAGGTCAATCAAACTACAGGCTTCCCTTGCAGAAGAAAAGGATGGGGGTTCTCCCCTGTGAGAAAAGTCACAAGGGAGGGTCCTCCTTTCCTGCCCGGTGCTCATCAGAACTGAACATTTCTCCCCCCCAAAAAAAAACCCCATCAAAATGTTTCTAAAAGGAGGGCCTCCCCAATGAACGGATTGAATCAGGGCTTGGCCAATTTTGATCCGGCTTCTCTGTCTTGGGTTGATGGAGAGATTACAACCCATCACTCAGGGAACAGCCCCCCTTCCTCCTTCTTTTTCCCCCCTCCCCATTGGGAGGTTCTGGGCTCCCTTCATCGTCTCGCCCTCACTCAGAAGGGGAGGGAGCTTGAAAGACTGGGAGGGAGGGGGAGGGAGGAAGCCTTCCTGCGCCTGCCACCACCACCACCCCCTTGTCTGGGTGGGAGCCGGGTGGCCGATGCGCTAGCCAGGAAATTGGCAGAAGCCCAAACGGGCAAACACCCCTGAGCCCAGGCGATCGATTATTGGGTGTGTGTGTGCAGAAGGAACGGCTTCGGCTCCCTGGAAGTGCCCAGGAAAAAACACACACACACACACACACACACACACACCTTTCCGAGATGCTCAGCCCCACTGCAGCCCCTTCGAAGCAAAGCACCGCCGCGCCGTTCTGCCAGGGCTGGCCCCCCCGGGTGCCCAGAGGGCACCTCTGCCAAGAGGCTGCGGGGGTCCGGTTCAAACGAGAAGCGGGGGCGGGCACGGGCACGGGGCGGGCGCAGCGGCAGGGTGGGCGGCAGAGAAGTCCTGGAGGCAGCAGGGCGAGAACCGCCGGTGCCCAGCCTTCCGTGCCAGGGATGGAGCGACGGGGCGCGCGCGCACACACACACACACACACACAACCCCCCTTTTTTTGGTCCCGCTTAGAACCGCCGCTCCCCCCGGCTCGATGTCACCGCCGGGGGGGTGAGGGGGCACCTGCTGGCACCGTGGCGGCGGCTCCGCGCGTCTGGG